AAGATAGAGTTTTGGGAAAAATCTCATGGTTGAAGGGGCATAACTATACATCTATAGATGTATAGATGTCTAGCAAAAGAGACTTAGAAAGAGGAAGTGGGATCAAGGATACATGTATAATATTGTAAAATCAGGGGGTTGGGCTAAATATTTGGACTTTATAGTCCCTTTTTAGCTTTAAAGCTAAGGCCCTGAGTTTTTTGGAGACTGAAGCAAAGAAGAGTAAAATGGTATGTGAGGTAGTAACATTTTGAGGTGTAAAATCGGGAAGGAAAGAGTACTCACGTGGCATCTATTTCCTAAGTAAAGTAGAAGGTAACATCCACTACTGGATCAGGGAAAAAGTGAGGGTTAAAAGAAGTTGAGGTAAGAAAGAAAGGTTTTGGAACAGCAAGATCGAGGGAAAGACTCCAGAAGGTAATCAGGTTAGATATTTGCAGTCATTTTACTTTCTTGGAATACAGGTGTTTCAGTTTAATTCTCCTAAGAATTTAAGACAAAGTCTTTTGTATTTCAAGTTCTGAAAATTCAAAAAATCAGTGGGACTCTTTCTGTCAGCTTTTCCAAGGGACAAAGCAATTTTGAATCAAATGGTTGCTGCCCTTTTCTCAATTAGGTCTACATGAACTGATAGGGACCACTCTGTGTTGAGACATAGTGTATTAGATTGAATTGAATGAGGGAGAGGCAAGTAATTCTGCCTTGCTAGAAGAAAAATGGGTATCAGACAGATAATTCAAAATATTGCTTCAGATGCCTGATTAGGCATGTGGGCTCCTAACAATTTTTTTTAATTAAACCTATGATTTCATTGATGTTGGGAGTTCTTAGTGAGGAACTTCTTCCACCAATGTAGATTGACATTTTTTAAAATAATTTACAGAATTTGAGAGTTGTCTAGAAGAATGTTTCTCTCCCTCTCTCTCTCTCTTTCTCTTTCTCTCTTTCTCCCTGTTATTCATTCTCTCTTCCCTTCAAGGAAAGAAAAACCCTCCCTCACTCTTCCCAGTTATAGTGGCTTTTGAATATAGAGTGCCTAAGAGAACTTAATCTTGGGCCTCTGGGCTGTGACTGCTTTTTCTGCTGTGTTTCTTTCCCTCCATAGGAAATCAAAATAGACTTCTCAGTGGCTGCCTAGATTTCCTAGGTTCCTTAGCCCATGCTGGCTGACATTCAGAAAAAGAGTCCTGTAGCTACTACTGTAATGATCAGAAGGAAAGAAAGCCAAACTCTTGGCCTGGCCTGGCAAAAGTAATTTGCCTTTAGGGACAGTTAACAAGCAAGGTAAAAGTGAAATGCCAATTCATCAGTCTCACAAATTGTCTCATATTTTGATTTTTTTAGTATCAACCTCGCAGAAAATTATAATGGGAATTATGTTATTGCTTGATGTCAATGTACACATGTGAGTCTTTTATGTTTTAATCATTTAGTTTATGTGGAAAAAATAGATAGCTATCTTATACCTAATATGTTCCCTTTTGGGAAGACCCAAGACATGAGCCAAATTTTAAGCTTTAAGTGGTTTTCTCTGTGGCTTTGGTGTTGTGAGCATGTAAAAAGCCCAAGATTTCAAGGAAGAGTTTGACTCTTCTCCTTAAGAAACAAGCTTTCCTAGGACTCCGAACCTTCACCAAGCGCATGGGTCCAGAGCCATGGGGCCTCTTTAAAAGGAGAGAATGAGAGGCCCAGCTCTGCTGACCCCAGCAGCAGGTCTGTATTGTTGTCAAGAACTAGGAATGTTCGGTAGTGAGATTGCTGGAAGAGCATTTAAAAAATTAATAACTTTTCTTTCATAATTAAAAATTATTTTTTTTAATGTTTGGATCAATTCACAACCTCTCCATCTTTCAACTAGTATGCCTATGCTTGTATCATTTTTCTAACATTGAATTTTCATCTTTGCTAATTTAATGAACACCATGATATTAAATTCTTTTAATTTGCATTTGTGAGACTATTTATGATTTTGGGTGTTTTAGATTCTTGGTGATAGTTTGCATTTCTTCTTTTGAAATGTTATTCATGTTGTTTGATTATATATTGAGAAATGGCAACTTAGCCATTTGTTGATCCCTGGTACAAATTCAGAGCTGAACTTTTATTAGAGATGCCTATTTTTTTTAATTTGTGGAATAAAACAAGCATTTCTATAACATAGTATAATTAAAAACTGATTGAACATGAAACTTGTCTATTACATAAGGTTTGGTATTCCTTTTAAATATATAATAAAGTTATCATGTAAATTTCTTCTTTTTTTCTCCACCTTCCCCAGAAGAGGCTGCCATTAGACACAAATACATACATACATGCATGCATGCATATGTATTTGTGTGTGTAAATGTGTGTAAAATAAAAATATTCTATACACACTTCTATTTATCAGTTCTTCCTCTGGATGTAGATAGAATCTTTCTTCTATGTCCTTTATAGTTAATTTGGGTATTTATAATAGTCAAAATTACTTATTCACTCAAAGTCATTCTTAAAACAATATTACTGTTATTGTATGTGACATTCTCTTGTTTCTGCTCATTTCTTTCATTATTTCATGCATCTTTCCATATTTTTTCTAAGATGATTAAGCTCATCATTTCTTATAGCACAGTAGTATTCCAGAAAAATCATATGCCATAACTTGTTCAGTCATTCCCCAACTGACAGGCATCCCCACAATTTCCAGTTCTTTGCCACCACAAAAAGAGCTGTTATAAACATTTTAGAACATATAGGTTCTTTTCCTTTTTCCCTAATCATCTTAGGAAACAGACCTAATAGTTGTATTGCTAGGTTTATCGTGTAGGTAATTTAAAAACTCTTGGACATAATTCCAGATTGCTCTCCGAAATGATTGGATCAGTTCACAGTTCTACCAACAATGCATTAGTGTCCCACTTTTTCCACATCCTTTCCAACATTTATTGTTTTTCCCATCAATCATTTTAGCCAATTGAGAGGTAAAAATGATATCTTCATGTTGTTTTAATTTGCATTTCTAATCAATAATGATTTGGAGCATTTCTTCATGTGACTATTAAATTGTTCTGATTTCTTCATTAGAAAATGGCCTGTTAACATCCTTTGACCATTTATCAATTGGAGAATGACTCATACTCTTATATATTTGACATAGTTCTTTATATATTTGAGATTATATATATCAAATATATCTGAGAAACTGTCTATAATTTTTTTTCAATTTTCTGCTTTCCTTCTGAGCTTGGATTCATTTGTTTTATGTGTGCAAAACCTTTTTAATTTCATGTAATTGAAATTATCCAATTTACACATCATTCTGCTCTCCATCTGTTGTTTATTCATAAATTATTCACATATCTATAAGTCCAATAAGTGGTATGTTCCATGTTCTTCAAATTTTCTTGAAGTGTGTCTTTATATCTAAATCTCTTACCTGTTTTGCCCTTATCTTAGTAATTAGTGTAAGATTTTGATCTATGACCAATTTCTACCAGATTATTTCCAGTTTCCCAGTAATTTTTACCAAGTAATGAATTCTTATCCCAAAATCTTAAGTCTTTACACTTGTCAGATACAAGCAGATATTTGCTGCTGTAAACTGTAAGTCTACTCTGTTCCATTGATCTACTTTTCTATTTCTTAGCCAATATCAGGTATTTCTGATAATTGTTACCTCATGATATAGTTTAAGGTCTGGTACTGCTACACCTCCTTCATTTCCTTTTTTTCCCCCAATATTTCCTTTGATATTCTTGACTTTTGTTCTTCCAAATAAATTTTGTTGTTACTTTTTCTAATTCAATAAAATAAATGCTTGGTAATTTAATTGGGATGGGATTGAATATATAAATTAAAGTAAAACTGTCATTTTTATTACATTGGCCCTGCCTATTAATATTTCTCTAATTATTTAGATCTGATTTTATTTGTATAATTATTTTTTAAATTTTGTTTACATAGTTCCTGGGGTTTTTTTGGCAGGTGTAATTAAGATGGAGGAAGGAAAAGCTAAAGAGTGAGTTAAAACTCCCTGGGACCCAGGAATAGGGACATCTCCCAAGGAAGGCAGATTGCAGAAAGGTGAGGCAAAAAGGGGAGTGGGCAGGATTTCTGAGGCCTTTGCTGCTTGCCATACTAGTGATCCTTTGCAATGAACACCCCTTTATGGGTCTGGGCGTCTTTTGTTAACAAAACTCACATATCTGGCTTTTCTGTCTGAGGCTCAGCAACCAGGACTCTTGCAACAGGGAACTTGTCCTTGTCCTGGAATAGCACTTCAGGAACTAGGCCTGATGAGAGGTATAATGTTCCATTTATAGATTATCATTTGAAATAAAGTAAAGAGCCTGGTTCTGATTTCAATTCAATTGAAAGGCTCATGAAGTTGGAAGGGATGTTGGAGACAAAAGAAACAGGCTGAGGGAGATTAAGTGACTTGTTCAAAGTAAAGCTGAAGTGGTAGAGTTGAGATTGGAACCCAGGTACTTTGACTCCAATGCCAATACTCTGTCCAATTAACTGTGACCAATCAAACTTTATTAAGCACCTACTATGTGCAAGACAGCACTGGGGATACAAAAAGAGAGAAAAAGACTGTCAACCGGACCAAAACCAGTCTCCAAACTGTGGGTGGCTAGAGCCAAACAAAGTAGACTAGAGACAGGAGAGCCAGGAATCAAACACATGTTTACTTAATTTCAGAGTGAGAAAAATGCTTGCAAGCAGAAGGCCACCTTGCTGAGAAGGAGGACTTATGGCTTATGTCAGGGGTAGGGCTTTTATACATAAAAAACCACAAGAAGGCAGGACTCAACACAGTCTTGAGTAAACAGTTCCCATGGTTGCCATTTCTTGGGACAATACAGGCATTCTTGAGTTCTGTAAGAACAGTCTCTAAGTTATTAGAATTGTTGAGCCTTCTGATTGTCTCAAGTTATCAGAGCCATGGAGCCTTGTGCTCATTCAGCAGGGTACGTAATCAGAATTAGCACAGTGGGAACAGGAGTGAAGCATCTGGTTCAGTTCAGTTTGCAGTTACTAACTGGGAATTCAGGAACTGTTGCCATGTCAGGATATTTTGATTGATCGCTTTCTGCTGGAGCATGTCCGCTGCTTGTGGCTTTCAGGTGCCTGGGAAATAGGGATCAAAGCGATACAAAAATTGTCTGATTTTCTGAGAGGATGAGATCATCCAGAGGGTGAGCAAAGGATTGTTTATGCCAAGCTCAGGGCACAGGCTGCTTGCTGGGCCTTAGCTCTGGAAAAACAGGCTGTCTCCAAATATCTTGACAAACAACCCCTGCCATCGAGGAGTTTACAATCTAATGGGGGAGACCACAAGCAAACAAACACATATATACAAAAACAAATATATACAAAGCAAATTATATACAGGATAAATTGGAAATAATTAACAGAGTGAAGTCACCAATATTTTTTTTTGTTTTTTGTTTTGTTTTTGCTTTTTGGTGAGGCAATCAGGGTTAATTGACTTGCCCAGGGTCATACAGCTAGTAAGTGTCAAGTGTCTGAGGCTGGATTTGAATTCAGGTCCTCCTGATTCCAAGGCTGGAGCTCATCCGCTGCACCACCTAACTGCCCCGATATTGGACTGGACTCATTTTACAGATGAGGAAACTGAGGCGAACAGGGTTAAGTGACTTGCCCAGGGTCACACAGCTAGTATCTGAGGCAGGATTTGAACTCAGAAAGGTGAGCCTTTCTGATTCCAAGTGCAAAGTTCTATCCACTGCACCACCTAGCTGCCCAGTGAAGTCACCAATATTACGAGGGTTGGGGAAGGCTTCCTGCATAGGGTAGGAATTTAATTGGGACTTAAAGGAAGCCAAGGAAATCAGTACATAGGGTTTAGGAAGGAAAGTGTCCTAGGCACGGGTGATAGCCAGAGAGAATGCCCAGAGCCAAGAGATGGAGTTATCTTGCTCATGGAATAGCCAGGAGGCCAATGTCACTAAATAAAAGAGTATGTGTCTGGCAGTAAGGTGTAGGAAGACTGGAAAGGCAGGAGGGGGTTAGGTTATGAATGCCAAACAGAACATTTTGTATTTTATGTTAGAGGCAATATGGAGCCATGGGAGTAGGGGCGGGGTGTGACGTGGTTGCACTTTAGGAAAATTACTTTGGTGTCTGAATGAAAGCTGAATTGGAATGGAAAGGGACTTGGGGCAGGCAGATCAATCAGCAGGCTATTGCAATATTCCAGATATGAGGTAAAGAGAGGGCTTGCACTATAGCTGTGACTTTGTCAAAGGAGAGAAAGGGGCATATTCAAGAGCTGTTGCAAAAGTGAAATCAACAGGCCTTGGCAACAGCTTGGATTTGGATGGAGGGGAAAGAAGAGACAGTGAAGATTCAAGAATGACTCCTAGGTTGCAAGGTTGAAAGACTGGGAGGATGGTATTACCTTCCACAGTAATAGGCACTGGGCTTGGAATAAGGAAGACTCCTCATGAGTTCACATTTGGCCTCAGACACTTACTAGCTGTGCAAGAGTTGGACACAACTGAAAAGAGTGAAACAACAAAGAGAGGGGAGGGTTTAGGGGGAAAGACAATGAGATCGTTTTGGACATGTTTAATTTAAGATGCCTACTGGAGATCCAATATGAAAAACCTGAAAGGCAGTTGGGGATAGGAGATTGGGGGTCAGTACAGAGGTTGGGTTGCAGTAGGTTGATTTGAAAGTCATGGAAGTTGATGAAATCACCAAGTGAAGAAGAGTGGTCTCAGGTCTAAACCTTGAGCAACACCTATGGTTAGAGGGCATGATCTGGATGAGGATACAACAAAGCAGGTTAAGAAGGAGTGTTCAGGTAGGTAGGAGGAGATTCAGGAGAGAGTACTATCTTGAGAGTATTAAGGGAGAGAGAATGATCAACAGTGTCAGAGGCTGCAGAGAGGTCAGCAATAAGTGTAAATCCCGTCCCAAAACTCATTGGTATGAGACTTTCTCCTCATTGGTGGGAGATGAATGTCCTACCCTGCAAGAGAGGTGATGCAGAGTTGGCAAGAGTGGGAGAACTCCAGACTTCAGAACTTTTTTTTCCCTTTTTTTTCTTTTTAGGCAATTGGGGTTAAGTGACTTGCCCAGGATCACACAGCTAGTAAGTGTCAAGTATTTGGTCTGAGGCTGAATTTGAACTCAGGTCCTCCTGACTTCAGGGCTGGTGCTCTATCCACTGTGCCACCTAGCTGCCCCTCTTTAGGACTTTTCAAGTTTCAAGTCACTTTGGGCATTTCTGGCTTCCAGTTTTGAGAAGGAAGATGGGAGAAGCCAACCCTACTTCAGGTTGCTGAAGGAAAAGACTCTGGAAAGACAGGGGAAGAGTTAGCAGTCTCCATCACATCCCTATCCCTAGCTCACTACACTAGAGACTTTCGGGAGTTTCTTATGTGAACTGAGTTACTTCACTCCTAATGTTAGAACTCTTCATTCTGCGTTGTCTAGTATATTTTTTCCTATGTACATATTTTTTTCTGATTTCTGTTTTGCCATCAGTTTGGATAAATGGGGTTTCTTTGTGATCTGCTATGTGTGTATTCATCATAGAACTTGTATGTAGTCAAACCCTGAACATAAAGCTTGGGTCCCTCCTTTCCCTATTAGGGGAGAAAAATTAGAAGTTTGGCTTAAACGTGAAAACTACATCCCTTAAACTAAATTTTTTTAAATTTTTGTTTATTTATTTATTTTTTTGTATTTTGTATTTTGCTAGGCAATGGGGTTAAGTGACTTGCCCAGGGTCACACAGCTAGTGAAAACTAAAAATTTCAAAGAAGCAGATAGACATAATGCTAGCTAGTACCCACTCTGAGGAGAGCAGAGTGGCCAAGCTCCTGTTCCCAAACTGCCTTGCCTCTGGGCAAGAATTAAAGTCTCCTTTAGAGAGGGTTGGGGAAGTACAGGCTAGAGATGTCTATTCCACCTCCCTTTAAGCCACACAGTGACACCCCCATGCTACATATAAGGAAGAGCCCCTTCTGCATATATACATTTATCTGAATCTGCAGTAAGGTTCTCTGTAAAGAATTACGTGACACCAAATTCCAATCCAAAGGTCAAACTATCATAATTTTTAATATCATAAAAATTATGGTGACCTTAATCAGTGATCACCTTGAGTATAGCCTTAATAGTCACTTTCATTTGAATAAGATGGTTAAAAGGGTGCAAAACACATTTGCAAATATGTAGGTATTCTTCACTTTTTAACTTGTGGAGCAAACTAGCATGCCATAAACTTAAATTGGGAAGTTCATCAAGGGATTACAAGTACTCAAGGAAATTGATTCTCCCCCCAAATGAAGACAAAGAACACATATTTTTCTCCCCTCTGTGGGAGATTGTCATACCCTCTGTGACAAGAACAAGAGAACTGAGCTAAATATACGACACATAAAAATAGATATGGATACAGACACATGTAGATGCAGACACAGATACGCAGACCCAGATATGGATACCAACAGAGGGGAGGTAAGAATACATTCTGGGGCAAGAGACAGGAGAGCCAGTCCCATGGCAGATGGGATATACAGATAGACATAGAAGTATAGATATAGCTCTTTAGTCAACTTTTAAGACTAAACATTGCAGAGAAGATGCCAATCTGAAATAGCTGAAGAGTTCCCAATATCAATGAAGTCCAAGGTTGAGCACCTATCCTCTATTTTTTAGGTAGGTATTGATATAAGTTTTCAAAATGTCCAAGTACATTGGGAAGAAATCCCATGGCTAGAAGTAAAACAGGTACTTCCTAATAGACAAGACTATTCCTTTTATCAAAAGCAACTTGTGGACAGTAGCAAATTTTGCAGTCCTTGAATTTAATTTTTAGTGCAAAAGTATGTCAAAATAAATTGAATTAAAATGCTACCTTTTTTTCCTCTTCCTGACTTTTTTCACTTCTTGCTTTCATTTTCTTCCCATTCTTCTAGTCCCTATTCCATCCATCCCTCTAACCTTGATGTGATTGACTAGTCAGTTCACTAGTTAAATAACTCTTCCGACCTTCAATTTCCCCAATTTTGCTCCCAACTGAAAGTTTAAGAGGCACAATATAAACATTGAATTTGGGAATTCAGATACTAGGAATTAAACAAGGAGAAAATATGAATGATCAGTAATGACTTAATGAAGGCAAAAGAGCTGAAAAGACTAGCAGCCTTTGATGCTATTAATTACTTTTTTTTCTCCTTGATATTCACTTCTCTTTTAAGTTTTTAAGTCCCTACTCTCCTCTGGTTCTCTTCCTGCAGCAGTTATGCTCTTTCCCAGTCTTCTTAACATCCGCTAATTGTAGGTATCCCCACGCACTCTCTCTGGGGCACTCTTTTCATCTCCGTCTATATTATTTCATTTAGTAATCTCATCACTTCTGATGGATTTGTTATGCCTATACTAATGATAATCAGATCTACTTATTGAGTGCTAATTTTTCTCCTGACATGCAGTTTTGCATCTGTAACTGCCCATGAGACATTTCAAACCAGATCTTCCAAGCAGAAGTCATTATCTTTTCCCCAAACTCTGGATTCTTCCTAACTTCTCTATTACTTTTTTTCCAATTACTCATGAATAAAACCTAAGTGTCATCCTCAACTCCTCATATTTTCTCACTTCTAACATCTAATGAATTTTCAAGTCCTGTTCCTTTTTTCTCTTTCAATACTTCACATATATGCCTCCCTTCTCTTTTCTGACCACTGATACTACCTTGTTGCAAGCCTTCATCACCATACACCTGGACTAGTTCAATAGCCTTCTGGTTAACTTCCCTGCCTCAAATTTCTTCCAACGTGGTGCATAGTCCACTCAGCTATCAAAATAATCTTCATTAAGTGCAAGTATGATTATATTACCTCACATTCAATAAACTTCAGGGACTCCTCATTACTTCCAGGATCAAACATAAAATCCTCCTTTTGTCTGTTAGAGTCCTTTGTAACCTAATTTTTTCCTATCTTTTTAGTATTCTTATACCTTACTTCCATCCATAAAATATAATTTAGTGATTCTGGACTTAACAACAACCAAACATATTTGTGAATGCAGCACGCGCACTGATATCCAAGGTAAAACAAGCCAATAACCACCCCACTCAAGAAAAA